TCGTGGGTACCTTTGGGTTGTGGGACAGACTAAAAGTTAGGCGCATTTGCATGTCATGAGAAACTCGAACAATAGTGTAGAGGATGAGTGACGATCAAGCAACAGTTCGAGATAGCATCATGATGTCTAAAGAGAGGTTCGTGGATTATACAGTTATCTAAACGCAGTCTAAGGGCAATCGCTCATGCAAGCAAAACACTCCTCATCACCGTCTCGAGCTTCTTCTCGGGCTCGTCAATGATGCTCTTTGACCTCCACGCGACGAACCTGTCCGGCCTGACAAGCACACAACCATCTTCCTCAACCTCCCTCCTCTTGACCCAGTCAAAGTAGACATCCTCGTAATCCTCCTTCCATCCAATGCTGTAGCTCGTAATCTCAACGCCAACCTTCTTGCCTACCTCCGCCGCCGCCTTCTTCCACTTGTCTCCCCCCGGCCCGGTGAGCAGGCAGAACTTGCCCTTGCCCGCCAGGTCGATGGTGGAGAACTTCTTCCCCGGCACGCGCGTGTTCAGCCAAGCGTGCGGCAGCCTCATGCCGGGGTACGTGCTGATAAGCCTGTGGCGAACTGCATCCTCGGGGAGCGCTGGCGCCGCCCCCTCGTCGGCGAGATAGACCGCCTCGGAGCGGTACTGCTGGTTCATCTCGACGCCCAGGCCGTGGAACTCGGTGCCCGTGTTCTCGATGCCCTTGTGGAACTGCTCGCGCCTCTTCCGCCCGACCTCGCCCTTGTCGTCGAACTCAGCCAGGATGGCCTTCCGCTTCTCCAGGTCGGGCTCGGTCATGCCGATCGCCGTCATCCAGGGCACGTGGTCGCGGAGACCTTGGTTGGCGCGCGTGATAATGCCCATGCCGACGGGCTGGCGCTCGGTGTTGTACGTGTCAAGAATTTTCGGGGAGGCCTTGCCCTGCATGACGTAGGACACCTTCCAGGCCAGGTTGAAGGCGTCTTGGATGCAGGTGTTGGAGCCGAGCCCGTTGAAGGGCGGGTGCCGGTGCACTGCGTCGCCGAGGCAGAAGATGTTGCCGTCCGAGTAGTATTCTGCTACTGTCTCGTTGACTGGCGTGGGGTGTTAGCAACGTAAAACTGCTTGGCTTACAAAAGACGGGAGACTTACTAAACCACTTGCTGACATCGAGAATCTCGACGTCGACAGAGGGATCGCCAATGAACTCTTCCGCCCTCTTCTTGTACTGCTCCTTCGAGGCGAGGTTGATCTCGTCCGCCTTGACGTCGGCGCCCGGTGGCGGGAGGAAGATGAACATCCACTCGTTCCACGGCCGCACCATGCGCACGATGCACGCCCAGCCCCAGGCCGGGTGCTCCTTCTCGGGCTGGAAGACCCAGTGGAGGTTGCCGGTGCGGCTCTTGACGAGGTGCGAGAGGTCGGCCTTGAGCAGGACGTTGAGCGCCAGCCCCTGGCCGGGCTTCTTGATGAGCGGGATGCCGAGCTCGCGGATGACCTGGCTGCGCGCGCCGTCGCAGCCGAAGAGGAAGCGGGACTGGATCTTGTACGTCGTCTTGGTGAGGTCGTCGCGGATCTCGCTGATAATGACGTCGGGTGAGGGGCGGGTGAAGTTGACGAAGGATGTGTTGAAGCGCAGGGTCCAGCCCGCGAGGACGGCGCGCCGCGTGAGGATCGGCTCGAGGTCGGTCTGGGGGAGGTCGACGTGGTCGCAGGGAGATGCAGCGTCGTAGTCGCCCTAGTAGCAGTGTGTCAGCACGGTTGCCCCCCAGGAGTGGTCCTACGCAAGGTCACATACTGCGCGCTTGGGATCGTTGCCCCATGAGTAGAGGCGGGCGTACTCCTCGCCAGCCATTGAGTTGCACCACCGGGTGTGCTGCATGTTATGGCCGGCGGCAGCCACGTCGATGCACTGCTGGTCCAACCCAATGTCTCTTAAGCACTCTGGCGGACATGTTAGCATCTTCCCCCGTGTATCTGGCAACCATCGCGTAGTACTTACCAAGCGCAGCCATGTTGGTGATGTGAGCCCTGGGCGTCTCGGCGCACCCAGGAGCAGCCGCGATCATGATACCTGTGTGGCCTGGGACATGGTCAGTTCCGGTCGTTGCGCGTAGAATGGTTCGTGACGCGCATACCATGAGAGGCCAGGAAACAAGCCAGGGAGGCACCCGCAGGTCCAGCCCCGACGATCAACAGATCCGTCTTGACGATATCTCCATCCGCCATCTTGACTTTCAATATACGTGCGGTATGGGCTATGTGTGTGTTGAGGGTATCGATATCGACGGCAAGGTGAAGAGAGAGTCCAGTTGGACAAGAGGTGAAGCACGAGTTACACGTCAAGAAGTCTCAGCATTCATCGAAGATGCGCGCCCACAAGCACTCCGCGTCTCTTACATACTACTCGGATGAGGTCTCAAAATTTAATCCGTAACCGGCCTCACATCCCGCTTCGCGCCGTGGAGCCTTGTACTCCCCTCGTGTCACCCCGCCAGGTTGGAATGGTCAGCCATGACTAAATCGGAGTTAGGGCATTGGCACATTGATCTGCTGGAGTCGGTGGAGTGGTGTCAGGGGTGCCCTGGTGGGTTGAAGCAAGAAATCTCGACGAATGCGGAGAAGCATTGGCGCGAACCATTCGCTGCATCACGGTCTAAAGTCTAAACCCCAAGAGGTCGTGCCGGGGCCTTGGCGTGAGGGGACTGAGACATACCGGTGCGGAGAGAGTTCCACCGACAACAGGGTTCTCTTTTTTCTTTTCGGTCGAAATGTCCTGAACGACGGACACCAGTTCTGGCCACGCGACGAAGCAGCTTTGTGAGCCAAGACGAATTGCTCGGCATGTCGCCGCCTATGACTGACCCCATGGGTCCCCATGGGGCGCATATCTGATAGTCCGGCACTTGATTTTCTCCCCCAATAGTCTAGATAAAGTCGAAGATAAGGAGCAGCCTTGCACGGACCAAAGACAATCGCACTTCTGTGTTCCCCCAGGCTCCAACATCTTTCCGAACGAACTCTACCCCGTAGACCCGTGATTGCCCAAAAGTAAGAAACTCAGGAACAACCGCAAACATGGCACCCGACCAGCAGACCCCCAAGATCAAGCTCGTGCGCATCGCGCACGTGTACTACACCCACAAGGACCTCGACGTGGCCAAGCAGTTCCTCCTCGACTTCGGCTTCAGCATAGCCGACGACCGGGGCGACACCGTCTATTTCAAAGGCTACGGCACCGAACCCTTCGTGTACTGCGCCCGCAAGGGCCCCGAGAACGAGTTCGGCGGCGCCGGCTTCGTCGTCGAGTCGCTCGAGGACCTGGAGCTGGCCTCCAAGACGCTGCCCAAGGCGAGTGCGGTCGAGGACTCAGACGCCCCCGGCGGCGGCAAGCGGGTCACCTTCCGCGACCCCGTCGACGACTTCCCCTTCCACCTCGTGTACGGCCAGACCCCCGTGCCCGTGTCGAAGCACCTGCCCGAGCTGGACTACAACTTGCCTCAGGTCAAGAACCGGGCCGTGAACAAGACGCAGAGGTTCAAGAAGGGCCCTTCGCCGGTGCACAAGCTGGGCCACTTCGGCTGCTGCGTGACGGATTTTGCCAAGACATACGAGTTCTACACCACGAGGTTCAACCTTAAGCCTAGCGACCTTGTGCATGATGCCGAGGGCAAGGATATCACCACCTTCCTCCATCTGGACAGGGGGATGGAGCAGGTCGACCATCACACCTTCTTCTTCTTTGAGGGTAAGCACCACCTATAGGATGCATATTGGGAGAAACCACTTACTGACGTGCCAACCCTCTCCAGGCCCAAAATACCACGTCCACCACTCCAGTTTCGAAGTGCACGACTTTGACATCCAAGCACTGGGCCACCAATGGCTCCGAGAGAAGGACTACGACCTCGTCTGGGGTGTGGGAAGGCACGTGATGGGCTCGCAAATCTTCGATTACTGGTAAGTATTGAAAGCCCAGTCTATTTCTGCCACCCCCTATGTGAGAGTCCGGTATGCTAACCTGTATATCGCCAGGTATGATCGCAGCGGCTTCATCATGGAGCACTATGTCGACGGTGACCTGGTGGACGAGACAACGCCCATCCACAAGTCGGAAGCCAGCCCCGACAGCCTGCATGTCTGGGGACCTCCTCTACCGCCGACGTTCTTGCAATAGACAAGCACGTGTAGCGAGGGTGAAACACCGGAGCGGGGTGTCTAGCCGCGAGACCGAAACGCTGCTTCGAGTGGTGTCCTGATATGGAGAGTCACGCGAGGGACATGGCAACTGTGCCGTCGCGTTCTAGACGATAAATGAGTCACTGTCAATATTAGCAAATACCACATCCAGTTAATATCGCCTGACGTGTACCACATTTGGCCAGGATTGTCCATCTTTTGAGTAGTGAAGTTAAATGAGGTCGACAGCCAGAGTGCGGTGGCGTTGACAGCATAACCACGTCCACTGGCTAAACTCGTAATTGCTTGTGTCTGCTTGATTTGGAGGCTGTCAAAAGGGTGAGGGTAGACAGCGTTCTCCCCATCAGGATGCCAAATTGCTAGAGCTGGAGTCCATATCGCATTCAGCCCTCCCAGTATTTGATGAAGAGCCCATAGGTCCGCCTATAGGGTAACTCAAGCGATTGCTCAAGGTCTCCGTTGAGGTGAAGGTAGATCGCGGGAAGAGCCGGGTCCTCCGTCTTCCCCCAGGGGTCGTGGTTTGTACGCCATCTATTACCACGCTGCTTCAGTCCACCCTCTTTCCCGGATCGAACAAAGATGCGGCTCTTTGCGCCTGTACTCTAGGGTGATATGTAGCCGGGCTTCGTACTCTTTTTTGACCGAGTCAACGGTGATCCGTGAAGACCGGACCTGAAGCTTGCCTGACGCTTCTATATACCCAGCTGATTCAAAGAAGCATCGTGCCAGGACAACATCAAATATGCGGCGATGAAACGACGAAAAGCAACCGAGCCTGCGCGCCTACCCTATACCGTTAAGGTATATGACGACAAAAAGGAACAGAAGAATTACTCCCCTCGACCGGAATCGAGCCGGTGACCTTTCGGCAAACAATGTAAGCCCATTACAGCCGAACGTGATATCCAATACACCACAAGGGGGATGGCGTCGAGCAACTCATGGATCTTGGTTGGAGCCGGTGGAACTGGGAAGGGAATAATACTAGTCACGATATGTGGATGGAATCATGGTGCTGGCTGGAAAAGAGTGAATCGGGGCCGAACGTGGATTCAGGGCGTCAGACGAGTGAGAGGCGATATGGCGCAACTGATGCCAGGAGAGGGAGGCGGGCGTGGTTGAAAGGATGAGTCAACAAAAGAGTGATATGGTCGGCCTAGTAACGGAAGCGAGAATGGAAGCCCGGCCCGAGCCGTCAGGGGGAGGAACAAAAGTGGAGCACCTTACATAATGCTGGAAATGCCGTATCATGAGTCGTGTCAACAAACCTGACAATCAGCACAAGCGCGTACTTCACTTCGCCGCTGGCCGTTAAGGCGGTTCGGTCAGACAATTGGTAGGGTATTTCAAAGTTGGAAGCTGTTTCCTGGCATTGCTTCCCCATCTCCTCGCCTGCAGTCCGCCAGCCTGATGCTGACATTGTGCCTCGACCCGCAGCGACGTTGTCAGTCCCCTTGCCATCACTCGTCAGCCGTGACACCCGACCGGATTGCAACCGATTCGAACCGGATGGAGGACGCCAGAATGCGCCCATGAGGCCAGACCAGCTTCTCCGGGAGACTCTACAGTTGCGGGAGGAGTGCGCTCACCCCCCTCAGCCAAGGAAGGGGAAGGCAGACGGACGTGGGACAATGGAATCGGTCGACATGACCGAGTGGTCTGGAGGAGATGCTGCGTTTGGTCGCAAGTCAGTTCTTGTTGTATCGATAACCCACTACACGAACCCGACAGGGCGCTCCCGATGCTTGCTTGCTGGAGAGGCCGCATCGAGCGTATGCTGGAAACAGTTCGTGCAAAGACAAGCGTCTAGAAATATATCTCCCCTCGTGGCTAGGACAGCCCTCACGAGCTCTCCGCGGCCGTAGAGGTGGTGGGATCATGGCAATCTGGGAGATGGCATGCCGCAATCCCTTGCGGGGGATTGTGCCCTGCATGAGATACAACCTCGTCGAAGCTGTCATGGCTACGCTCGGACGAGTCTCAATCCATCACGCAACCTAGTCTCGACCACCATCACTACAAAGACGGCAACTGCAGGCATCATATCTGAAAGTGCTGTCAATACTTTCTTTCAATATCGCTTCCAGTGGCAGACATCACAGTGGTCTATGCGGTGGTCGAGCATGCAGCACACATTTGCAAGTGCCGGCGAGTGGCGGCCATATTAATATTTCCTCCATTTATCCCGACAATGGTCAAGTCACTGCCATTTTCCTCTTTCCAATAAGGGCTCCCAAGTTGCGTGTTGTATTGAGCCGGGGATATGTTCCAAATAAAGCAGAGTCGCCTCAGTCGATCACCCCTCTTCTTCCGGCACGCTGCCGCCCGACGTACAAAACAAGATGATGGCCTCTTCGACTGTACTCGTTCTGTACCGACAAGGAAGCGCGCATTCCTCATTCCCTGGCCGAAGGACATATAAGCAGCCATGATGCATTTGCCCTCAGTGCTGGGCGCGGGTTTGATCGTTGCCTCCGGTGCCTCAGCAGCATGCACACGAGACTTCCTCCAGAACGCGGCAGCGGCATACGTCCAAGCGCAAGGAAGCGGCCACGCCAACACCCTCACCGCCCTGGCAAGCAGCAGCGTCAACTACACCGAAAATGACGCCGTTCTTGACATTGCGAAGGGCGTCCTGACCCAAGCAATTACCATCGACTTCAACCGCAGTCTCCTCGACACGACCCAATGCGCCACCTTTACCGAGCTGACTTCAGCCACCGGGAAGCACCCCTACGTCATCCACACCCGCATGCTCTTCACAGACGACAAAATCACCACTATGCAGTCCGTCGTGACCGACGACGGCGACTGGGCCTTCAACGCCGCCGGCCACCTCCAGTGGACGAAGCAGGAGAAGTGGGACGTCATCCCCGAGGGCAAGCGCGACGCCCGCGCCGTCATCCAGGCCGCCGGCGACGCCTACCTTAATAGCTGGGGCGACGGCACCGTCAAGGTCCCCTACGGCACGCCCTGCGCCCGCCTCGAGGGCGGCGCCTACACGGGCGGCGGGAGCAAGGCGTCGGCGAACACGTGCAAGATGCCCGAGTTCCCCAAGCCGTTCAAGATCACGAACCGGAGGTATATCATTGACGAGGAGGTGGGAGGCGTGGATGTCTTCAACGATTTCCCCTTTATTGACAAGACGAAGCCGGATGGCACGGCGAGTTCGAATTTAATCAGGGTTGAGGGCGGGATGATTAGGTATATCCATGAGGCTACTGCTTGCTCGACGAAGAATTGTGGGCGGTAGAAGCAGATTGCCGTGCTTTCTATTAGTCTGAGTCCAGGCTCGGTGTCAGTTCTTGCGTACATACTACCGTCATTTCCACCCTGGATGGCCTGCAGGACGTGAAGTGCAATGGCAAGCTTTCCAAATACCAAGACTGCAAATGACGTTTCCCTCCGGCCGATACGGCTCCGAGTCGAGTAGCTCAGAAGAGATGCTCTTGGCTCTTGGTAAACATGTCAGGATCGGGGAGAAGCCTCCAGTTCCTTTGCAACTCCGTTGCTTGGCGTGAGCACGCATCCGAGAGGATTGAAAGGATCGAGCATAGGACATCCCAAAGGGGAAGGTGCAAACATGCCCTTCTGAATCTATGAAGTTTCCGAATTGGGCTACTCCACCATCCGCCTCTTCATATATAGAGAGATGTGAAAACCATTCCTTAGAGCCGGCAATCTCGTTCTTTCCATCATTGCACGCAACCCATTCTCTATTGCAAGTCTCAAGCCGACTCACTAAGATGTCTGCCACCAGCTCCCCTCTCGCCTTCGTCCTCGTCCCGGGCGCGTTCTGTCTCCCCACGCAGTTAGATCGCATCATCCCCAAGCTGCAGCAGCTAGGCCACCACGTCGAGCCCATCCACCTACCAACAGTCGGACGCGCCTTCTTCGAAAAGAAAGGCCGCATAGCATCGATACCCGACGATGCCGAGCACGTCAACAACACCGTCGCCGTCCTGGCTGACAAAGGGTACGACGTCGTCCTCGTGGGGTCATCCTACGCAGGGATGGTTATCACAGAAGCTGCCAAAGGACTGTCTCGCGCCGAAAGAGGGCCCAACACAGGCGCCCTGATCGGCCTGGTCTACCTCGGCTCTCTCCTCCCGCCGGTCGGCGTGACCATCGCGGAAATGTTCGGCGGAAAGGGACCTCCCGCCCCCAGCGCCGACGCCGAGCCGACGTTCGTGGACCCTCATCCGGTCGAGGTCGCGGCGCAGCTCTTGCACTCCGATCTCCCGGCCGAGGAGGCGCTGCACTACGCCGGCATGGTGGACGTCTTCAGCAGCCTGGTCAATGGCGAAGCGTGTACGTTTGCCGGGTGGAAGACGGTGCCTGCCACTGTGGTTATTGGGAGTCGGGACCTGGCTGTTAAGCCAGACTTGGGGCATGAGTATGTGAAGAGGGCCGTTGAGGAGTTGGAGGCGGAGGGGAGGCCTGTGACTGTGAAGAAGGTTGTTATCGAGGCGGATCATATGATGATGGTTAGCCAGCCGGGTCGGGTTGTTGAGATCCTGTTGGAGGCGGCGAAGGGTGGTTCAGAGACGTGATGAGCTGGACAGCTCACGCGATGACAACTTGTCGGCGAGTGTGGTGGCTTGCCATTATTCAGGTATTAGTCAGGGAGGGATGCACGGGGAATAGTGCATCAGGCCCCGAGCTGACAATACACGGGACGAGATCCGGCAGAGTTAAGCTTAATTACTGCGGCACGAGCGGAGCGAGCCTGGTTGTTTGCATATGTCTGCAGTTCGATCACCAACCGGTCAAAGCAACCCTCAATTATTGGTATCAAACTCGCCAATATTGTGACGTGATTGGTGACTCGGCGGCTAGTCTGCGCCTCATCCTTCAATGTTTGTTCCAAATATGACATTGCAACCCCAATGCAAGCCAATGGCATCTTGAAGTTATCAAGGACGTGCAACTTGGAACCAACGACAATAACAGCCGCTCCCAGCGCAGCGCTCTCCGTCTCTTGCAAGATATGCTCTCCGAGGCATAGGAACATCGACAACCCCTTTCAACTCTGCAACCATGATTTCACACCGTGCCGTGTATCACACACCAAGAGCAGCTACTATCACAAACGCAAGAGTGTTAGAGACCAATCAGTCATGGCTTGGCAACTGTTGGATCGGGCTCCGGAGTGAAGCTTACGGAGAGGTCTGCCTCGCGGTTTCGCACTCATTGGTAGAGGGTGTCGACTTTTGGGCAATGGACTGTCACGAGAACCTCCAACGTGAGGACCACAGAGTCGTTGCAAATGGAAGGCCAGTTCAACCAACATCCAGGCACCTCTGGTGAAGATGGGAGGGTGGTCGTTGCGAAGGCTCGACCATTCACTGTTGATGGTTAGCAGTTCGCACCCAGCTCGGATCCCATCTGTACCACAGTGACTAGAACTCGCCCAGTGATTCACTTGACTTCTGATGCCTACTTGGGGACGAGGTTGGCAATATTTCCTTACCATACCAATTACCTGGAGGCAAACCGTCTCCTAACGACATGCCCAGGACTATACCCACATTGTCTATAAGAGCTGGGCTGACTCTTACTCGACGCTGTTGCACACTCGCTACACAAGTTTGCCCTCCAGACCTCGACGCCACAGCAACATGATGGTTACACAGCTATTATTCTCTACTCTCTTCTGGGCAGTACTGGCGACAGCCGGTCTCAACAAGCCAGGCTGCTCGTCGGTGACCTTCAGCATCTCGGCCGCGACGCCAAACCCTCTGTACTCTGGGGCACCAGACCCAAACAATGAGACCGATATTGTCAAATTCGTGCACAACATCTTCACAGGCATTGTCCTTCAGGCAACTGGTACTCAGGCCGTGTCCGGCACCTTCAACATCAATAGCATCTACTGTCGACCGCTCATCAGCAGCCCTGATGATGTCCTGGAGATCCTCGT